GTTTTCTACGTATTGTGTCTATTTTGTGTATATAACTATTGAAAAAAGGGAGGTTTTATTTTTATTCACAAACAGAAAAAGTCCTTTTACGTTTCAGACATCAACCCTTTGTGGTGTATAGTTTGATCAAATAATTCCTTCATTTCTCATTTATAGAAGAAAGAAAAATGCCACAAAAGTTAATCACAGTCAGATTTCGTACCTTCACCAGGATTCTGTGGCACACATTTCCTGCATCTTAACTTCTGACCATACAGTAATTGCTTGTATTCTTTGCTGTATCTACTGTACTTCAGTAATTGTGTGTATAATTGTGTGCAATGAAGTATATTCTAGCCAAGCTATGCTATGGAACATACCAGCTCAATATTCCTTTATAAAAAAAGAAATATTGAAAATTCTGTAGACCTCAATAATTTGACTTCCAAGAGTGAGATATCTGTTATTTCTATCAGGACAAGCAACAGGTTTGATGTTGACACTATGAGAAAGTGTCCAAATGAACTTTGGATGAAAAGATAAAGAAACTGATGAATAAAATGTGAGAGGTTTACTCACAAATTTGTGCTTCTGTAAGAAAGAAAATACTGTAATTTTTTTCGTGTTACTTAAAATTGCTTTTAAAAGCCTCACAAATCTGTTTTTGAAGACAAGTTGAACAGTTTTGATAATGGATTTTTTATTCAAATTTAATGTTTTTAAATAAAGACATTGGAAGAGATTGGCTAGAGTTTTGGATTCGCCATCCCTGGAAGTGTTCAAGGACAAGGTGGACAGGGCCTTGAGCAACCTGGTCTAGTACAAAGTGTCCCTACTCATGGTAGGGGCTGGAAGTAGATGATCTTAGGATCCTTTCCAACTCTAGCCATTCTATGATTTGTCTAACCTCTGCTAATATCTGAGATTTGTCTTTTGGCTAGTTTTTTTTTTTCAATATTAATCCATTCCAGTGTTTATTTATTATAGAATCACAGGATCACAAAATGGCTGGAGTTAGAAGGCACCCCTGGAGTTCTTCTGTAAACCCCTCTTTTCAAGCAGGGTCTTAACAGAGCTCCTTGCCCAGGACCATGTCTAGACAGCTTTTGAATATCTCTGAGGATGGAGACTCCACAACCTCTCTGGCCAACCTGTGTCAGTGATCAGAAGATCTCACAGTGGAAAAGTGTTTCCTGATGTTCAGACAAAACCTTCTGTGTGCCCATTGCATGTTTTTCTGTCACTGGATACCACTGAAAAGAGCCTGGCTCCATGGTCTTTGCACCCTCCATTCTGGAATTTACACACTTTAGTAGGATTACCTCTGACCCTTCTCCAGGCTGAACAGTCCCAGCTCTCTCAGCCTTTCGTCAAATGAGAGTTGCTTCAGTCCCTTAATCAGCTTTATGATCCTTTGCTGGACTGTCTCCAGCAGCTTTTGTACTGGGAGCTCAGAACTGGACACAGCACTACCAGTGCTGAGTAGAGGGGAAGGATCACCTCCCTTAGCCTTTTGGCAGCACTCCTAATGCAGCCCAGGATAGTGGTGGCCTTATTTGCCCCAAGGCCACCACTATGGGTTCATGTTCCACTTGGTGTCTGTCAGGATTCCCAAGAGCTTTTTATGCAAAGCCGCTTTCTATCTGAATGGACCCAGCATATATTGGTATATGAGGTTGTTCTTCCCCAGGTGAAGGTATCTGTGCTTCTGCCTGTTGAACTTCATAAGGTCCGTCAGCCCATTACTCCAACCTGTGGATGGCAGCATGACCCTGCACTCCTCCCAGTTTTGTTATCAGCAAACTTGCTGAGGGTACACTCTGCCTTATCGCCTAGATCATTAATGAAGACGTCAAACAGGATTGGACCAAGTACTGACCCCTTGGGTACACTACTGATTGCTGGCCTCCAACTAGACTTTATGATGCTGATTCCCACCATCACGTGCCTGGTTGTTCAACTAGTTTCCAGTTCAGCCCACTGTCTGCTCATCCACAGTATTTTTTTTTACTGATAAAGGAAATTACAGATTAGCACCATTTTCTTCTTTATTTACTTTAAAGTTTCTCATTCTGCTTGTTTGCCAGTAAATCTAAATAACCTGGCACTGATTTTACACCTTATAAAAAGTTTCAAGTGTAGTTCAATGCTTCACAGAGGTTTTACAGAAAAGATTACAGTAACTAAACATTGCAGGAATCCATTATTTGTGGAATCAGTTGCAGTATATCACCAAAGGAGATTTCTGGATAACCTTTATTTTGTTGGCTTTGTTTGGTTTTTAAAAAAGACATCCAATGCTTCAGAAAGAGCCACAGATATTCTTTTGGATGCAAGATCTTCAATTTATATAACATTTACACATTTTCACATTTCTTATGAAAATTCATGTGTTTCTTTTTACATGTTTCCTCCATTAAGATCCCATAAAAAAATTCCGTATATTGCATTCCCCTCAAAGCTTATTGCCTCCCATTTTTCTTTTTTATTACAGGTGATTAATCTTATTTTTAAGGGAAAAAAAAATCTGTCTTGGGAGGTTTTCCTAATGGGAGCATGATTTTCATTAAGACTATCTGTCTGTTGGAAGATATAGCCAGTCACTGTTTAGATATCATTAAAAGGGTTCTGACTCAGCCAGACTAATAATAACAACTTGATTGAATTACATACAGAAGAGCTGCTAAAGTATAACCTGTTTAATGGTAGACTATTAAAAAAAAAACAACAAATCACCAACAACAAGCATTTGCTGGTTAAATATGCTTAAACATAATTAAACATGGTTTAATTTTCATCAACTCTGATACTGCTTTATTTACAGGTTCTTGTTTCATTATAAGAATTTTGGTATACTATCAATGCTTAATGAAGTGTATCGCCTCAGGTGTCATAGATTCTATTTCACTAACACTCTTGAGATGTTGAAAGGTTGCAAAAAGACTTTTTTTTTTAATCTGAGCAAGATCTACCATATTTCTAGAATTCTAACAGATTGCAGACTTTAGTGTTCATTGTTACCAATGTTACTGTGTTGTTAACAAATAAGAACTTACATTCAGAATTGTTTTATGGGTCAAATTTCCTGGTCTAGATTACATTTCAGCCTGGATTCTTGCTGCTTGCACTCCTTTATATGAAAACTTCTTCATATGGGAGAAATCCTGTCAATACCTTTTTCTTCTTTCTTCCTCTGTACTTTGCTAATGTTGGAGTGTTTTCAGTAAATCAGAGTGATCCTTGCAAATTTAGCAAAATGAAGAAATGTAATGGTTTGGATGGTAATTTGAACCAACAGTCAAAGTAGGTTTCCTTTTAGTATATTGCTTTCAGCACTATATATCAACATCTGAGGACATTAACTCAAATATCTCAGTACATGTAGTGTTGTTGGTTAGCATATCTATCTACTGATCCATAGAACTGCTTAACAATTAATGCTAATTACCTACTTAGTCATATTTTCAGTCCCTTAAGTTCATGAGTATTTACTCATGATTTATATTGTGCAACTGAAAAAGATAACTGGGAAAAACAAAAGCAGCCTGGTTATAGAACAACAGTTTAAAAAAGTGATCTTACAACTCTAGTTTTTGAAGTCAAGACATTCTGATTGTTCAGGTTAAAATGACTGATCTTGCTTATAGAGCACTAGACTTTTTTCAGGATATTGTTTGGTTATGATTCTTGCTGTCCTGACTTGACTAAGGCTAGAGGAACAGCAGTTTTGGTGGTGGGTTGGTTGTTTTTTTTTTTCACTTCATGTATTTCCTACTTCCAAACTTTTTCTTCATTGTTTTATTTATAGCTTTTTCTGCACTGACACAATTCTGAAACAGTAAGATCAGTTCCATGAATAGACTCATGGCCCAAACTGAACCCTAGCTTTCCTCTTGTGCAATTCTTTTGAGGCCTGGGCACTATGTATGTGGCTCAGGAGCAGCTTAATGCAGAGTGTTTGTATGAAAGTATTTATCACTGATTTCAGATGGCCAGATCCTATCAACTCTCCAGAAAAAAAAAAAAAAAAAAAGAATAAAGGCCAGTGGATTTTTTTTTTTTTTTGAGTCTGTGTTTGGTTGTTTGGTTTATTGTTGTGGTTTTTTTATTTTTTTTTTTTTTTAATTTTTGGTTTACTTGTTTATTTTCCTCTGTACAGAATATTAATTTTAGGTACAAAAGAAGCGTAAATGGTTAAAATCTCCCAGACAAGACTAGTGTACTCTGAAGAAGTCATTTTCTCTTGAAATACCTCAGCCTCTTTTACATTTCTGGGTTTGGATAGTATCTTCAAACTGGGACAAATTTTGTGAAATGATTTTTCAATGGATAATTGTCTATTGATGCATAGGTTTAAGATAAAACTCATTTTATCTATGTGTTATAACTGGCTATAAAAACATGATACAAAGAGTCTTAGACAGTAAATATGATCATATTTATCAGATTAAAAATACCGCATGTATTAGACTTCCTACCTTGCTAGCATATGAATTCCATGGCAAACCCTTGTGGTATCTATTCCGGGAAGACCAAATGGATGCTTCTGACAAAGAGTTTCCTTTTTGGCAGTAGGGATGGCAAAGTATACATAAACACAGAATGGAGTTCAGATTTCTGTAGCTAAGCTGAGTGTCATACTGCAAAATGTAAAATAGGCAAAAGGATTCTGAGTGGATCGGTAAATATATCCTCTTTCATTAGGCTGATGTATTAAAATATTGTGTGGTTAGCTGTGTGACGTTCTTGCTTTCTACTGTGAGCAGAAATATTTTTGAACTCTTCAGAGACAGAGAGGCAAAACCAGCATTTCATAACAGAAAAAAAAAACACAATCTTGGTCTAATAGTATCATTAATTTCTGCATTACTAATTAATGTGTTGCTATAGTTTTGAAACATTTCTTATTTCTGAGAAATATAAGCATAATTATATTATGAAGTGCATTGTCAAATTTTACCACATAGACATTATAGCCAAGATACTGAACGAAATTAATTTTCTCTTTCTCAATTTTTAAGATCCAGATTTTAAGGACCTTGGTGTTTTGAAACCGTTGCCAGGTTGGTATGTTGTTTTGTGTTTTTTTTAACTTGGAAGCCTTTGCACTCTTCTGTAGAAAATATTTTTGTTTGCTGTTCAGGCATCATTTTTTCTGGTATTTTGTTATTTAGTTTGTGAGTTTGAGATGGGAGGACCTGAAGGAATTGTGGAATCTGTGCAAATTGTCAAAGAAGGAAAAGCTTCTGAAACTGAAGCAGTAGACTGTAAATGGTTCATCCGAGCACCACCCCGATCCAAGGTCAGTCCTTTGTCCACTTGCTGTTTTGTGGTTTAATTTAAGAAATTGACTTTTCTAATATGTTGTGTGTTTCTTAGTACACTTAGATCTTGTTTAATAACTTTACTGCTTGAACTTATAAACTATTTTTTTCCTTTTGCTGTTCAAGGGTAGTTTGTCACTTTAGCAGAAATAACTTACTTTCTCTATAAATAATGATGCAGGCAGTGTTAGCAGACTTTTTGCTCCATAAGTAATTTTCTTCAATTAATCTTTATTTTTTCTCATATTTTAAAAGAATCAGTGTGTTTTTTTTAAGTGGGAGGTAATCTTGTCACTTAACTTTCAATATATTTCAAATAACTAATATTGAAACTACTAAGTGAACACTGCTGGCTACCTAAGATCATCATTGTTTCTCATCTGGGAACCTTGAAAACAGAGCCAAAGTAAATTCACCTTCTTCTGTATGAGAACTTTAGTTGTTCTGGTTCAGAGCCACAGACAAAAGAAGATAATATCCTCATTTCTCTTCCACCACAGTCAGCAAGCTGTGCCTTTGTGACAAGCAAGAAAGGGCTGCAATGAATTTCACAATTATTTTCTTGGATTCTGAATTCCTCTCTTACCCATGGTTTATCAGTTGTTATATGGATTAATTGTTGCTGGCTATGCTACCATTTCTCCTTTCTTTGCAATTGGAACAGCTTTGTGCCTCTCATCTATTTTCATTCACAATGTTAAGGGCAACTTCACATTGTATTTTTTCAAGCCGTGTTTTATGGACAGAAAAGGTTTTACAAGGTAGAATTTACATATCTACTAATATCTGCTATCTTTAAACAGATAAGGGTTATTTTAGTATAATCTCAGAATGGATTGTACTGAATATATCTGTTTCAGCATTTGGTATCGAAAGAGCAGAGAAAGGATTTGCAGAAGAGACAAAGTTATGAATGTCAGCATTTTTCTATAGTGAAAGTTGAGGAATTGGGTAGTTGGCTCATAAAGACTACAGATAAATCATTTCCAGAATATACTTAAATTTTTATTTTTTCTATCTTTTGGATAAATTCAGTATTCATAGAGGTTTTTAATTAAGTAGATGAGGTTCCCACTTTGCTACAGTAAGTAGCTACAGTCTAATGACAGGCCTGACCAATTATTATTGCATATGTTACATATTTAGGTATTAGTAGAAAGAAAACAGGTAAACACCAAATTAGAGTTGTGTGTATTTATTAGAACCAGCACAATTAAATAAGCTAATAAAATTTTCCTGTAGTCTTAATTCCAGTTTATGTTTGTTTGGTCAGATGTCATTGTGATATTCTTATTTGATCTAACATTAACATTCCATATGATTCAGAGCCTTCTAGAAATCCCGTATTTGCGTATCTGCAAGTGGAACACTTCAGTCCTGATGTAAAAATACAAATTGTGTAGGTACATAACCATAAACTGTGTGACAGAAGAATGCCCCCTTACCACTGTTAATAGAGGATTAAAGATTATTTAGTTTTTCATTAACTTCTGTACCTGTATTTAGTTGCGTTGCACTTCAAAAAGTGTGTACCAGTAGAAGATCAACTGGAAGGGAGAGTGATGAGTGCGTTCTAGAAAACCTGAGGAAACACTGAGAGTTATTTAAGGTCATCTAGAAGGTTTTGTGAATAAAAAGCTTTAACGACAAGGAAGGAATACTCTGATGTCCATGTCTGTGTGATAAGTCATGGCCCTGCACTCTAAAAGATTCAGGTTAGATACTAGGGAAGAAAATTTCTAACATCAGGGAGAGGATTATAAATGACTGGTTAAGGAAGTTTGTTTAGCCAGCATTGCAAGTGCAGATTAGGTGACAGTCTATGAAAAATGAGAGAAACATTACTAATCCTGCCTTTAGGAAGGAGCTCGTGCTGGGTCATCTCTTGATGAATCTTGCTGCTCCCTTCTTACAGAATTCTCCTGGTAGAGAGATAGGGCAGTATAAAAGCACATAAATCAGTGTTTCCAAGCATTTGGAGTTGAAAGCTTTTTCAGCAAGCTAGGAAAAAAAAAACAATGGTTTTCAAGCCTAGATTCCTATCAAAGGGGTAAGTCCAATTTAGGACTTAAACTTTCTTGGTGTGATTTTCACATACACACACAGATCTCTACACACATGCACACATGCATATGGTTATGGTATCATCATACTGGGACAGGTTGAGCAATTTTTAGACATCATGGAATAAAATAGTGGATAAAATAAAAAAAAAACAAGCTTGTATGCAGTAAGATTTATTAGTAGATTGGTCAATTGAACTGGATTGTATTGTCCATATTTTACAGTCAACTTCCTTTGTGCTTATCTGACCTTGAACTAATGACATATTCAGTGCAGTAATTTTGTGACATCATTCTAACTTATGGTAGTTTGCATCTATGAAAACAGTCTTTTCTGCTAATAACAATAAGAACTCAGGAAAGGTCTTCAAATCCACATGTTCCTGTACTCTGGGCTGCACAGTCTGTTACTGGGAATTATGCCTAAAAGGCCAGAGTTTCTCAGATATAGTTTGTGTTGGATCTTTGCATCTTGAGTTTCTTAATTAAACTGTGCCAGAATGTGGGCTGCTTGCAATTTCATTTGGCTTAAACTCATCCAATCTAAACTGCAGAAGTAAGTTCTTTCCTTGCTTTCCAATTCTAGATTCAAGCCAAGTCTGAGCAAAATATATGAGCAATGAGATCAGTCAGGGAGTATGAACTTGAGTTCTCTGAGCCTGAGCTTCAAACTGACAGTCTGAGTGTAACATTGTTGCTATCCTCAGCAAGCTGGAATAGGACAGAGAATAGCAAATTTCTTGCACACGCTTAAAACAGAGCCACCGCTGATTACCTTATAGCACAAAGAATAAAATACCGAATATGTGTGCAGAACTGAAACTTTCTTAAAGTGCACAAGACAGCAGAAGGCGGTATAAACATTACTTCAGTCTATACAAAGACCTGGAGCCTTATATTTGACAGTGACTTGTTGCAAAGTGCATGTTTCTTGTAATCACTTGAAGTCAGTTCCTGCTGAGTAAGGTAGCTGTGAATCTGGAGTTTAGAAATCCTGGAGGTTCTGCACTTTGTCTAGAAGCTGACTTCTATCACTAGTCAGAGCAAAAATGGAAAATGAAAGAGGGAGGTGCTGACTGACTATGCCAACCCACCCAGAATGGTAAAGAGCTGGAGAAACCTCCTCATCCCAAAATTCTTCTGTCTAGAACAAAGCCCAAAGGAGGAAGTGGATAAGCTTATTGTACTAGTTTTTGAAAAACTTCAGACATATCATTGGCTACAGCAGTGGATAAGCAAAGAATCTCTATTTATGAATAGAAAATAAGAAAATGAAAAGAATGATAGTATATTTCTCACTTTCTGTTAAGGGTGCAATGTTGGAGGAGAATATCAATGACAACTGTTTTTCTATATTGGATGTGTCAGCAGTTTTACAAGCACCCCCCAGAAGACAGAACTCAAGTTTCTGCTCAGGTAGCACTCCCTTTTGTGGGCAGCTTTCCCAGCAAGGTACCATGGTGTCTTGCTTGTTCCTTAAGAGATTCTTTAGGGGGGGAAAAAACATTCAGCACAATTGGACAGTAATAGTAATAAAACATTCACAAAGATGAAGTCCTGATGCTGGGAAAAAAAAACAGTAAGCAGTGCTTATAATCAGAACCTCTGGGCAGCTTGGGCAAGGGCATCCTAACTACGGACAGACAAATATGAATTTGAATCCGGTCCAGTTGAAGTCATCTATTCAAAAGGAATGAACAAATAGTGACCTCTGTATGTACACCACGAGAAATAAAATTAATGGAAGCGAGTTAGGAAAAGTGATGCCTAATTCTCCTGCCCCACCTAAGCATGCTACTAGGCAAACAAAATATCTTTACGAATTGTAGGATGCAAGACTTAACAAAAAGCTCAAGCAACTGAAAGGATTAACTAATGAGTATCTTGTTTTGACAAATCACTGCAGTACCCTGCAGTGGGAGGGGGATGCACAGCACAGGGGAGGGGGCAAGGGTGAGGGTGGCCACAGGGGCAGGACATGACCAACAGGAAGAACCAGGTGGGCCTGGCCATGGCAGCTAAGTTGTGGTGGTGGCTGGGTTTGCGCATGGCCCCAGCTCAAGCCAGGCAGCAGCTTAACAATGCACAAGGCTGGGATAGTGAGAAGTGAGGCCAAGTGTGGGACAAAAGTCCCAAGTGGTACTAAGACACTTGCATATTTACAAAAAGTAGGTATTACTACCTGGTAGAGGCTCTAAATGACCTGTTACTGTTTTCACAGTGGACCTTGTATCCAGGTGCTTGATGAAATAGACATTACTTTTGTTCCAGGTGCCTGATTTAAGATTGAATATATAGTCTGGAGAGGCTGGGTTGTTGCACATGCATTTCTTAGGCAATTAAGAGGCAACATGAAGTAAAGCAAATTGCAAATCTACAGGTCTATATGAACCAATCTGACTAAACCAAAACGTTTTCTGTTCTCAAATGTGAAGTAGAAACTTGTGCTATTGGGTGAGACCTGAAAGAAAGACAGTTTAAGCTTCCAGCACTGGCAGGCTAACTTATCCCTGATTTTTGGAGGTTTCTTTATCAGGTGTAGAAGAAGAGCTTTAAGTAATACACTAAAATTTAATGGAAGTCGTTTGAGTGATGATTCATGAAATATTGCAGAAACACAGAATATAGGGGATGAAAACCCTAATATCCATTGACACTTTTACAGGCCTCAGATGAGCTCTATCTCTGAAGAAAGTCTGAAGCTTGCTAACATATGATAAGCAAATGATATTATGAATGAAGAAAACCCAATACATTTATACTGCAACTGTGGAACAAGGTGAACAAATGATGTTTAAAGAAGTAGAAAATACTGTTTACCTGTGTTAAATTATTAAAAATACTTCTTTGAAACAGTTTTTGTTAGACGAAGATGCAAGACAAGTGCATGTGTAGAATCACGTTTGTAGAATGTC